AACCATGATTATGTACATCACTGGTTAATCTAACAAATGTTAATAATTTTTAAACATTCATATTAAATAAAATATAGAAGTACAAAATATCTAGATCCTACTAATTTGAAAATAAAAGTAGTCTTTTTCTTACAAAATACAATTTAAATTTATGTTTATATTTTTTTTTGTTAGAAATCCTTAATTTGTACTCTCTTTATTCTTTATTAAAAAATTTAGTAATCTACATTAAATTTTACTAATTTCATAATATTCTTTCTAAATTGTCTTTGTTACAAGTGTTTAAGTACAACCGAAAGGTCATACAATAAAAAACTAATATTTTAGAGAAATCATCATTAAATAAAGAAAAATAAAATTGATTTATGCTTAAGAAGAAATAAAGTGTATTTAATTTTTTTTTTATAATCATAGAGAACAGAGTCAGTACATCCATGTTTGGCTCCAAAGTTTTTTTTTTCAAGATTTGAAAGACTGTCTCTTTATCATAAGATGTTATATCATTTGTTTGTTTAAATGACTTTTAAGTTCTTACATTTAATTAAAAAATTGTCCTTCTATAACATGATGTTATTTATACTATTTGTTTGAATGCCTAGTTTTCAAGTTACCTTTTTATTGTTTTTGTGCTGTGAATCTTCTCTTTTTAGTATAAAACGGTAACACTAAAGTTAGAACATATAACATCGTACATATTATTCAATCCTTCTACACTAAGCTTACCCTTGTGTGGATATTTTATAATTAGTTATGACATCTAAATGTTTTTCTTCAATTGATAGTTGTCTTGAGTTATCAATCATTAATGGTCATACAAGTAGTAAATATTTAACTTTTTTTAGTTTTTTTATTATTATTTTAGTATAGATCACATTACCTTTTCATTAGTGACAATTTTGTTCGAAACAAGTAGAACTATTGTGTGTAGACAACAAAACTCTCCCTTTGATATTTAACACATTTGTATACTAAAGTCTCTGATTTGATACCACTTTTGTAAAGCTTGATGTATAAAAATTTTGCATGTTATATTTATTTCAATTGTAAATTATACCTTTTGCATAAGATTTTCATTCTCAATTAAATGATGAGTATAATATAATAAATTTGTTTAGATTGAGAAAGTTACCAAGTGTAATGAGAATTTAAAATACTGAAACGTAAGAGCTGAGAATGTGCCTGGTCTAGGGACAAGCTTAGTTGGATTATGATCATAATGCCCCTGCTTCTATGGGCCATAAAGAATTTCTAGAAAGAAAGAAAGAACGGGTACATAGAATTGTAAGAAAGAGACAAGAGTAATTTGAAAAAATATATATAATTTAAAAATAAAATAAAAAAACGTACAGTCTCGTATATTATAAAATTTAACTTAAAATAATTGTTTGTTTCTTTATATAAAATTTAATTCATATTGTCTTATATATTAATTATTTTTAAATTAAAATATAAAACTTAATTAAAATATCTTTTTTTAATTTAGTAAAATATATTAATTATAAACTCTTTAAAGAACATTCATTCTAATTGATTAGAAGAAATATAAGTATTAATTTATTAGAAGAAATATAAGTATTAATTAGAAGAGATAAATAGTATAGGACATGTACTATAATTGATTAAAAGATAGACAAAATTAAGTTAAAATTTCTTAGGTGTGATTAGTGTTGTTTTTCAATCAAAGTTGCACATGTATAATATTAATGTAAAACTCCAACTTTGATCGGAGAATAATATCAATCACATATAAAGAGCTACACCTAAATTTTGTTCTCAAAAGATATATGTAAGGATGACAAATAAATTTTGAACCTTGCTTATGGAAGAACAAAGAGTCTTATCAAACATAATAATGATCAATTGTTCTAATGTATTTGTTTGCAATATATACAACTTAAATAACTTTTATAGTATATTATTAATTTTAAATTATATATTTAATAATATAATATCTATGTAGATATTACATATATTATTTTGTGATATCAATTGCAAGTACATTTGTAATATCAATTGTAAGCATATTATATATATATATATATATATTATTTATATTTTTAATTTTTATTAGTATATAGCTTAAGATGCAAATTTTTTTATGTATTTCTTTATACAAATTACAAAATAAAAATAAAGATAGTTTTAAATAAGATGGAAATTGACATTTAAGAAAGGATATGAATTTATTGAAATTTATAAGTATAAAATATATTTAAAATGAATATTTTTTTAAAAAAATTAATAAAAACTGAGTCATGCAGTTTAATTGGTGACCTATTGGTTCAACTTTTGACCCACTAACTCAGTACTCTAACCGGTTTAATAACCGATTCAGGTTTTAAAACTATGCTCATGGGTAATGCTCGAACTAGTCCCAACTTTGACAGAGATACCTAATATAATTATGCACCAGTAAGGTACAAATAATACCCAATTTATTGAATCGGGTACGAGGATGAAGATAAACATATACTTATCAACCCTATACTTATCCCTATCTTTGCTTTAAATTTTTTAAAACACTCATAGAATTTAGGATTGCAACAAGTAAGCAAAATAATTAAAACCTTCACTCTTGTCCATCCAAACAAAAACAATTGTACTTCTGAAATTTCAATTATGTATAGTTATTTACTTTTTCATATAATTTTGTAATTGTTACCTACATTGAAATTTGTGTTTTTTTATATATTTTTTGTAAAAAAATATATTTAATTAATTTATGGACGAGTATAGGATGAAGATAGGTATAATTGATATTCAATGGAGAAGAAAATGAGACCCAAATTTCATACCCATCAAGTATCAAGAATGAGGATAAGTATAAAATATGAACTTGATGATAGAAATATTGAAACTCACATCCATCTCATTGTCATCCTAATTAAAAAAGAGAAGTGGTATAAAAGTAGTTTGAGAAAAAATATATAAGTAAAACAAATTTATTATTATTAACTAAATTAACTATTTTACATAATCTTGATAAATTAGATTTTTTATATATCCGAACGAAACCAGAAAAGAAAAAAAGAAAAAAAAAAAAAAAAAGGTATACAAGTAAAAAGTAGTAAGGGAAGGAGCAAATAACAGCACTTAATAAAAAGAAAAAAAAAAAAAAAAAAAGGTATACAAGTAAAAAGTAGTAAGGGAAGGAGCAAATAACAGCACTTAATTTCAGATATAGATACTAAATTGATTTTGTGCGACACTTTTAAGAAACGATAAATTATATTTTAACAAAAATTGTGTAATTAATATGTCCTCGTCATTAACCCATATTAGCAAAGGAAAGACTTGATCATATTAGTCCTCGTTATTAACCACATTATGATGGAAGAAAGTTAAAGACTATTTAAAAATATATATACATACATGGATTAAATTAATATATATAGACGAGGGTTCAAACGACACCGGTGTAATTTTTACTAAGTGTTACACCGCTCAATAACTTTATATTAAATGTGAATTTTGAAAATCCAACCGTTAGATTGAAAGTTCATATCTCTTAGATCATATATATCAAATTTAATATTAATCTAAGATGATTTGATATTTCATTCTTATAAAATAAAATTGATGTAATATATACATTTCAAAATATACTAAAATATGAACACTTTGATTACCTTCAAGTTGTTGTTCAATTTTAACAAAATTTGACATATATGATCTAAGAGATATGAACTTTCAATCTAACGGTTGAACCCTCCTCATATATATATATATATATATATATAGGAAACAACAAAAGCTTTTCACAAATACAAGGGATAAATATATAGCTAAACCTTTCAAATATAAACCACTTTGACTTTACTTTAAACTCAATTTTAACTTAATTTTATAAATAAAAATGTTGCAGCAAAACATTCAATTGAACAACAACTTGAAGGTAATCAAAGTGTTCATATTTTAGTATATTTTGAAATGTATATATTACGTCAATTTTATTTTATAAGAATGAAATATCAAATCATCTTAGATTAATATTAAATTTGATATATATGATTTAAGAGATATGAACTTTCAATCTAACGGTTGGATTTTCAAAATTCACATTTAATATAAAATTATTGAACGGTGTAATACTTAGTAAAAATTACACCGGTGTCGTTTGAACCCTCCTCATATATATATATATATATATATATAGGAAACAACAAAAGCTTTTCACAAATACAAGGGATAAATATATAGCTAAACCTTTCAAATATAAACCACTTTGACTTTACTTTAAACTCAATTTTAACTTAATTTTATAAATAAAAATGTTGCAGCAAAACATTCATTTTGATTTACAAATATTAAAGAAACAACTTAGATCAATAATCAACTCCTATATATTTTTATAAACTTTTATTCGACAAAATAATTTTTATAAACTTTTTTAAATTTTTTATTAATTCCATTTTTATTTTGTCATAATCATTTATAAATTAAATTTTATATTTTAAAATAAATTATCAACAAATAAAAACAATCTTGTATTATAATATTGATTATTTTTCATAAATCTAAAATATAATTTATGTTTTCAAAAATATCTATTTATACAACTTTTAAATATAATTCATATATTCAAATATAGTATTTATTTATATATAATTTATTATAAATTTTAGTTATATATAATAAATATTTAATTACATTGTACCGGCTAAAATACCAATTTTCTATAAAATATACACCATAACTTTATTTTGTAGCAACAAAATGTCACCTTTCGCTACAAATAAAATAATGGAAGCATATTGAGTGGCCAAACGTAATTTCACACTTAGAATTACACATTTAACCACTCAAACGCGTATCCTGGTGCTCTAGACTATAAATAGCAGCCATCAAATTGCCTTTTAAGTCAATGAAAGTTAGCTGGACAAAGACTTTTCCACGACAAGTAACCAAAAACGAAATGCAGAGACGGCTAGAGTTGGTTAGGTTAACACCGCAAAATGATAATATACACCTCAAAACGGGGCTAAGTAGTTTTAATCATGTTAAGTGTAAATAATATTTTCTTTGATCTTTTCAGAATTATACGAGTCACTCGTAGTATGACTAAATATCATGCACAATGGATGAATGATGTCAAACTCAACAAAAAAATAGGGATAAAAATGGCAAGCTTATACTCAAATGAGAAGCTTGCACTTGCACTTGCACTTGCTATGGCAGATTACATGCATTACTTCTTCCTTCCCAGCTCATCAACGTGAGTGGGAACTTTATTCCTTCTCTATGATTATGGGGGGAAAGGATGAAACATAGAATGGAGTGTGTTCTCATTGCTTGAAGCATCTAAATATATAACTTTTTGTGGCAGAACATACTATCATATCTTGGAAGCATCAGCTGTGACTCGGCTAAAGGCAACCGCAGTTTTTGAGCCAGATGGACGCCCCAGATGCTTGCTGATGAAGTCACCAGCTGACATGAGCTTTCCAAGATCAACGTTGGTTTTGACACCAAGTCCATTCAGCATGTACACAACATCTTCGGTAGCTACATTTCCTGAAGCTCCCTTAGCATATGGACAGCCACCTAGACCAGAAACTGAAGAATCCACTGCACTTATCCCCATCTGTTTAGATACAAATCAATAATGTCAATTACTAACTCTGTTAGACTACCAAAAGATAAAATGTGGGCCCAGTTTAAGCAAATCTAAATTCTAGGGGATAACAAATTGTTCATAGATGGTAGAGTGTGCATTAATTACAATTATTCAATGGTTGGTGCTTGGTACACCAGTTGAGAGTTTTTCATCGGATGTACTGGTATTTTTGGATACAAGAAAAGAAGAAAAAGAAGAAAAAATATGAATAACAATGCATTTTCTTTTATTTAGTTAAAAAGAATGTGGAAAGAAAAGGAAGAGAAATATCGAATTGAAGAAACGAAAAATCTAATTTCAAACTCCTCTCCTGATTCGTTTTCTTTCTTCCCTAACCAACATGCACAGGGGTAGTGAAGAAAAAAGTTCAATAAACTCTATAATAGACAAGTAAATAAGAAGTTCAAACTACAGTTTGTTGACTTACTTGGAGGGACACAAGAATATTTGGAAGGGATTGTCCGTAAGTGTCATGGAAGTGGACAGCAAGCTTCTCCACTGGCACAACATCCATTACAGCCAAAAGCATTGGAACTACAGTTCCTGACCATAACAGAATGAACAGAAAACAATATATAAGTACAAAATATAATATTCGAGTAACCAAAAGATTTTATACAGAATATGCATATTCTGAATTAATAAACAAAGCAAAATGTCAGACATTCATCACACAAATCTTCCAAGATTTGACATTATTAACTTTGCTAAAAAGCATAGCAGACATAGGCAAGCAGTCTCCCATAAAAAAATTGATAAGCAGTCAGGACTCAGGTTCAAGATTCGAGAATAAGCATAAAGAAAACAGGTTGCAGCCTTGCAGAGAGTGGCCGCGGTAGATGCCTCCATCAGGTGTAGAACTTAAAACTCAAACGAAGTAATGTAGATAGATGTATAAAGTACAAATAAATGTTTTTAATATTAACATTCTCAAATGCAATTCTTTCAAGAATCAAACAGAAGTGACAATTATATTGCAAGTTCAAAAATAAACGACAAGGTATGTCACAATCAACACAGCACAAGAAAGGTGAGTAACAGGCTGATGTTTAGTAAGAATTGTTTGAAGACATATGCCAAACAAGGGAATGCTACATGAGGCTGATATTAGTATGTTCTGAATTTAGCAAAAGGCGTGGATAAGATGCTTGAGAAATTACAATTATGACCAGATTTTCTTCTGGACAAGAAGGGTTGTAGCAAACAATAACATGTTTGTTTGTCATACTTGGAATGAAAAAGAAGAAAACAAGGACATATTGATTAACTACCTAGGAAATGTATCTATGAAATTCTAGTCTATACACTATAGTTATAATTAGTTTTCCAAAGAGGGTGGATTTATACAGTGCACGGAATATAACAGAAGATTTTGAAATTATGAAAATAAGATGATTTAACTAATTAACAGGAGAGACAAGCTTTAGGTCTTTGAGAACAATACATGTATAAAATGAAATTTTACATCATTGTGAAAAAAGCCTGAAATTGAACAAAGAGAAATTAACACTAAAAAAATAGCAGTCAAATGGGAGATCCAATGAAAAATGTGATGGTGTAAATTAATCAATATGCCAAAGTACTATGGTATATTATCAAGCTCTATACTATAACTATGGACAAACAAATAACTATAAAGCAAACTGTTGTAGAAAAGGAAATGAAGATTTGAAATCTTCCTTGTGATAGCTAGGTGGTTGCTGATCAAACCCAAAGAAAAATAAAGTGCACTGAAGATCCCTAACTTATCAAGTTCACATTCAGAAAAACCTAAACAAGAATATCAACAAATGAGAGTAATTCAACAGAAATACTGGAACAAGCATGGATAGCTTAAAGTTTTCAAAAGGAAGGAGATCTAACTCATTACCTGGAGTACCAACTCCAATTGTATCCCCAAGAGAGATTTCGAAGCAACCCATATCATATAATTCTTTAGCTACGTATGCTACTATTGACGGAGGGATTGACCCTTCCACTGGGCATCCAACAACGCATGATACATACCTATGAAATTTCATTACAGAAAAACAAATTGGAGTAAGCAGAACAGGAACAGAATCTCTATCAAAAGAATTTAGTTATTTTAAAATATTAACACGAATCTGACTTTCATTACCAACTATTAAACCTTGACCTGGTTGACTTTATAAATATATACCTAGAAGGTTCTTCAGCAATACCAAAACTTACCTTACTGTAATGAAATAATAATGAAAAAACAATGCAAATACAGATGTACAAAGTGATTTCAAAAAATATTATAGGACTTAGGATCATATGGGATTGTAATAGGAGTAATGATCATGAAGAAAAAAGGTAATAAGAAATGACAACATTGCCATCAAATTAATGGTAAAGGGAGGGCAACTTCCATTTAAACAATTACTTATACCATATCCTTAGTCCTCTTGTTCACTTCAATGTGTGTGCATATAAAATTTCCCTTCGCTTATAACTAAGTAGAAGTTTACAACATCTAATATTCTAATTTCTAAATTTATTTCCTACAAGATAAGATGATTTAACACAAATTATTTAATATTGAAAAAAATATACATATCTTCTTTGCATTCAATTGTTAAGAGAGAGAAACACAGATAAACAAACACAACTAAACACAGTTGAGTGAAACATAGTATACAAAAACAACTTATAATATTTTGCTCACAAAGTTGAGTAAACTATGTTGTTTTCTATTAGGCACTATTTTGATTGACTTATTATTATTAAATAAATAATTTTCTTTTATCTACTTTCTACCCTTTTCTCCACCGATACTATAACTTTCCTTAATTTATAAATATTTAATATTTGGCATGTAAAAGTTTTTTTCAATGAAAATTTACAAATGTTCAGGTTGAAATTTGAATAATTAAATTCTTCTCTTTCAAAACTTTCCTGTGCTTGAACATCTATATTGGTCCCATCACTGGTTCGAAATAAAATGCAATGGAGGAGCAAATATAGAAAACTGATTACAAACTATTTTCTTTACCAGTAAGGACTTATAGCAACTTTTAAAGATATAAAAACCATTCCTAGGTCTCCTCTTAATAGCTTTAGGTTGTGTTCAATCCTTGCAGCCCCGTTCTTAATAATGAAATTAAATCTTTAGCACAAAATAAAAGGAGTGTGTTTATTATCCATGCTTCACTTTGAATAAGAATCATATATGTAAAAGCTGCTAAAATACAAAAACAGATGCCCTAAAACAGAACATGTAGAAAACCTATTAATGTAACATAAGTTTTTTAATTAATATTTAGGTACTAGTGATAAACAAAGAAATTCCAGGGCAATAAAAGCAAACCATCAGAAAATTTTAAAAAATAAATAAATAAATAAATTCGGAGCTCTGCTGGCATAAATGCTCACTTATAAATAAATATATTGAAAAAGAGAGGATTGATGTATGCTTAGAATAATGAAGGAGAAAACAAAAGGCATACCCTCGAACAGGAATTGAAAGCTCTTTAGCAGCAAGAGTAACAGCTCGATAGCGAGCGAGACTCTCTTCAATACTACAATTAATATTTGATTTCGAGAATGATTCAGAAGCTGATGCAAAAACAGCTACTTCTCTAGCACCGGCTGCTATAGCAGCTTCAAAACCCTATAAATGTAACAGATCAGACATCTGAAAAATCTGCCAATTTACAGTTGTTCAAGTTATGTGCACACCTTCAAATTAGGAGTCAGAACTGGCAATCTAATGCCTCCCAGGTTCTGAACTGCTTGCATTACATCCTTCGCATCTGCCAACTGAAAGATACAGAAACCGAATGGTATTCAAGCAGGTAAAACTCAAATCACTGCATAAATAATTTAGTTCAGAAAGGAAATCAACTAGAAATCTTCGTTATCGACATATCATTGAAAATGGACAGATAGATTGCACCAAATGGGTGAGAATATAATATACCTTTGTTTTGAGCACAAATATAAAGTTAGAGATATTATTTTGTAATAATATTTGTTAGTTCAATAGTCATATAAACAATGATTTTCAACTCTTTTTTCTTAAATTTTCATGATATAGAAAACTGATTTCATGTAAATGCACCTGGAAGAAAGTTTACCACAACAATCAATCATAATATTAATATCAGATTAAATAAATATGGTAAAGCCATTATACCTGTGGGACCCATTTGGGAGATACAAAACTAGTAGCTTCAACAACAGATAACCCAGAAGATGCCAATCTATGAATCAATTCAATCTTTACATCGGTTGGTACAATGTTTTTCTCATTTTGTAGTCCATCCCTTGGACCAACTTCTACTATCTTTACAAATTTTGGTATACCTTTCATAAACTGCATTTCCCAATTATAAACTGACGTTACTTACCAGCCAAAAAAATATAAAACCAATCAACTACAGAAAGTGTAAATGTGTAACATAAAGTCAAATAAAAACACAAGAGGCAGCACGTTGATAAAATAAATTAGTAGCTGGAAAGGAATTCTTGAACAAAAAGCAGTCATTGCATTACCTTATATGCCATATCCTGTATATTTTTGTTATTGCACTTTGGACTATACTGGTAATCTGAGGCGTAAAGTGAATTATCAATCATTCCACATTTCATCGAGTTCCACCCCATGGTCATAGTCTTTTGACTGAAAGAGTCAACTCGGGACAGGTCCCTTGTTTGCCTTCTCCATGGGAATGTCTCTGTTGTATATTCCTCGTTGTCTTCACTGAACCAAAAATAAGCTTAAATTAATGTTATGGGCAAAGTAGCCAGAAATAGGTTAAATAATATCTGACGAAGTTAAAGGAATGTAAAAATAGGCAAACAATAGGTCAAATGATGAATAAATATATGCATAAGCATAAGTGTTAACTTGTAGTAATTTGCAATTTTTGACTCACTTGCAGCTGTTCGATGTGCTGCAGATTCGTCCTTCAATCCAGCAGTTTCCCATACCCAAATTATCTCCTCTGGGACGGCAAGCACCAGATGAGAACCTCTGGATTCTATCTATGGTATTCATGCTTGGCAACTTGTCAAGGCCAAGTGGCTCCTCCAAACTTGACATGGTGATCTGGATGATCAAAAGGAACTGGCAAAAGATATTGACAGTAAGTACTGTGCATCAGGAACTCACTTAACATTCTTGCTAGCATTTTCATCAGGTTGTAAGAAGATTCACATTTTCATTAGCATATTAAGTGTCAATTCTATGTATCTTCACACAATGAAATCTAATGACATGTAAGAATACACTGGTTTAATGCTTAATGCACAGCAAATGCCAATCATTAACAGATCCATTTACTGCAGATGATGTTGTATCACATAATAGATAATGAAAAAACTATCAATGTTAAGAAGAATTTAATAGATGAAGCAAGGAAACAGCTACATATCAGCTGGATTTGATTTAGGCTATGCTTGTTTAAGTAGGACGCCAGTGAAAATGGATTTAATGGAAAGGGTTTTGATGTTCATTCCCTGCTGCTTGGAGGAGGATAAGAACTGGGAAATCATTTTTAATCCATTTCCATTTTATAGGAATGACCAGAGTTTGCCATGAGTTGTACTACTTTTCCAGGTTTCCCATATTTTTGTTGAAAAAGCAAGCAAGAGGTGATTTTCATTCCAAAACTTCCACCTCCTTATTTTCAGTTTAATCAAACAATGAAAAGCCTTACCTACACACAAAACGTATTAGCAAATGAAAAAAAAAAAAAAAAAAAAAAAAA